TTGTAAGAAAAATTCAATAATTATTCATAAAAAGTAGAATTATGTATCATTCAACACTTACCGAATTCGACACTAAAGATAGACACTATTATGGAAAGTAAATTTTATTCAAGATATAGGTCTACTGGTTTTTGTTTTTTTTCACTTTAGTTGAGTCAGAATATACTAACATACACACACATTTTAGTGTCGTAATGATATATAACAGCAGTCATTAATACACTAGTTGTCAAGAGAATATTGACACAACTTTGGTAGTATCGGCCATTTATCAATTACTACAATATATTGCAAAAAAAATTTACTCCTTTTATCCTTTGGGATTTTCAATATTTTAAGTCCTAATTTTTCATTTCTCAGTATTATAAGAATTGTGAAACGCAAAAAGAATAAATGAGTATGAGTATAATTTTTGGAATATAGGCAAAGGTTCTATCTATTTACAGTATGGATATTTGACTCTTTTTTTGAATATTTGTCCTGGACACACTACTAGGAACATTTTTGAGGATTTTATCTTGTTAGAAGTTACTACTTAAAATGCAATAGAATTTGCAGACCTCAAGACCATCATAATTATACTCCTTTAAAGTTTTGTGATTAAGAAAGAAATAATTTAGTCAAATTAAATTGGGAGCTAGTGAAAGCAGATATTACTTTAAAAAAAGAAAAGAAAATGAAAAATGGGAGTTACATTTTGTTCTTTTTTATGTGTATACATAATAACAGATTTCTTTTGTATAACTACCAATTTCTTTACTAAAAGACCTCATCAGACGATGACCATTTTAGATAAGCGCTCCCGTTTCTACTGAATTAAGCAATGGAAAAGGAAAAAAGAATGCAATTTCATTTTGCTTTTCAATTATCAAGGGTCATGGATAATTTATACAATTACTATGATAGGAAAACTACATGTCTGTATCCTTCTTGTCCAAAAATTTTATTTTTCTTTTGAAAACCAAAGACCCTTTTTAGGTTTTCATGTTTCTTGTTCTCTTAATTGGGTCTAAATACAGCTGCTAGTTGATATAATACTAAAGCAGCATTGGCAATCAACTTATGTACATCTTTTAGGTCAAAGGATAAGTTAAAGTTTGTCAAAAAACATAAGGAAATAGTATAAAAGGTGCAAGGCAAGGCAAGGCAAATTCTAAGGAAATAATTAAACGTGGTAGCTTAATTATGTAGTTATACACTTAATAAACCCTTTGAGACTAATATGAATAAATACCCAAGTATCTTATCACATACCATTAGTACATCTTATGTAAAAATAATTTTCTCCTCACCTTAATTTTAGCTTAAATGTAGGCCTGTCAATTGGACCATCTGAGTCGGGCTTTCATAAGTTCAGATTCAACTCATTTAATTTGTAACACTTTCGAACTTCGGATCATGAAATTCAGGTTAATAAATATGATGATCATACTCAACTCACAAAATATTCGGGTTTTGAGCCTTATTTGGACTTAACCCAAGTTCACTTATTGTTCCTCAATTTCTTAACATAATTACTGTAACTATTGAGTTGTAAAACTATTTTAATATTCACAGGACTACAACATTAAACTAATTATGAACAAATAATAGTTTTTAAAAAGTACATAAATCAAGAATTTTTCAACGACATTTATATCTAATTCGTTCAAAAAACATGAAAAATAGTAATAAAACATGCTGTCATAAGCCACATCTTCAAAAGTTGGAATTTCTTCATAGCTTTGTGACTTGAATTTAAACATGCTTGATGACTTGTGTTTCTAGACTAAAAAGAAATCAATCAATATTATGCTAATACAAAAATATATACAACCAATAAGAAAAATTAGAGGTTCAGTTATGCATTACCAATATTGACTCTCATGAAAGCTAGTAGAAAAGTCTTCAAATGTATTTTTGTGTTCTATAATTTGTACATATTTAGTATTTAGTGATAATATATTTGGATATATAATTATATATAACATCAAAATATAAATATTATATATATATATATTATTTGTCATCACATGTATAGGTAATTTAATAGTCGGGTCTATATCAGGTTTAAGCCTAATAAGGCCCTAACTCGATTCACACTAAATTCGAGCATAATTTTTAGGTTCAATCTCAAACCGGCTCACTGAAAAGTTGGGTTAATCGAGCTTTTATTGGGTCGAACGAGCAGAGCTCGGACTGGCTCAGGCCCATTGACAATCCTACTCAAGCGTTATCCAACTTTTGTCCATACTCGACAAGTAAAATAAAAGAAACACAAAACAAAGGATAGAGAAAAGGTCAAAAGTTATAGAGTTCTCCTCTTTCTAACTCAATTGAGGAAAGAAAGAAAGAAAGAAAAGCTTAAAAACTTTTCCCTCATTAAAAATAAAGCTATTTTCATTGCTCAAAAACATCTTTTTTTCCCTTCTTAATACTCTTTTACACTTCTCTTCCATGGAGGGAGAAGGAATGAGTAGAAATTTCCTTTATGCAAATAAATACCAAAGGAATCATCACCTTCCCTTTTCCATTCTTAACCCAAAGCCGCACACCTTACCCATATATAGAACTTTATGGGATCAAAAATATTTTTCTCAACCTAAAACTCTGACCAATTTGAAGAACAAAGCAACTCTTGTTCCAATAAATCCTTATTTTATTTCATCTTCATCAAGTAGTCGTGCAATCCATGGCCATCTAGGAGAAGAAGGAGGGCTATTCCCATGGCCAACTACTCTACCTCCTTCTCATGACACAAATAGATTTATCAATGGGGTGGTTTTCTTCAATGAAGAAAGTACTCCAAACTTAAGTCAAGAAAGGAATCTCAAAGGTGGGTTTGGAGAGGAAGAAAATGTGGCATCGAGAATACCTAGAGGAACAGGAAGGAGAGAAAAAGGTGGCTTTTCTGTTGCTTTAATCAAAGGCCTATGGACTGAAGAGGAAGACAAGTAAAATCATGGAATACCCCTTTAGTCTCTTTTGTTTTTATTGTTACTTTTATCTATTCCCTTTCTATGGCAACGGCGCGGGGTTCGGGTGGGGAACCCCTCCCCCATCCCCTGCCCCGGTGCCTACAAACTCCCCCCTCCCCCACCCCATCCCTCGTCCCCCACTCCCCCCGCCCCGCCCCGCTTCTCCCGCGGGTGCCCCTGTGGGGCTAATAAAAATTTGTTATATAATTTTATTATGGTTAAATTTTAGCAAATAATCAAGTACTAAAATATCAACATATCATCAAATTATTATTTATTGTAATTTTACAATTGAAACTTATAAAAAAAATCAAACAAAAATTATTTGAATATAATCCAACATGATAAAATAAATATAACTAAAATAGTCAAGTTTTCACTTTTGACACAAATACAATCACCAATTTATTATTATGCTTGTGCTTTTTTTAAGAAAAAATATTATTGTATTAAGTGTAATTAGGGATTTAGTATAAATGTATTAGTAAATTTGGTATAACCAATTAATAATTTGTATTAGTACACATATATAATTATTAGTATAATTAATAATATCAATTATATTATATATACTAATAGACATTATATAATACATATAACTAATAATATCATTATCATAAGTTTGTAACTAATTAAATTATATATTATATATATAATTATATATATATATTTTATATATTTATTTTTTTAAAGCAGGTGGCACGGCGGGGGATGAGTGGGGGGGAAAAAATTCCCCCTGCTCCCGCCCCACCCCCAGCCCCAACCCCCTCCCCATTCGTCCCCCACAGGGCGGGTGCCCGCGGTCACCCGCCTCCATTGCCATCCCTAGATCTTTATCTTATTTATAACATGCAAAATTAGTTTTATGCTGAAAGCATTGGCTAATTTGTTAGCTTCCTAATTTCCTTTTTTGTTGTTATGCAGTACACTAAGAAGGCTAGTGAAGCATTTTGGAGTGAAAAAATGGGCAGAGAAAATGGTGGGAAGGACTGGTAAGCAATGCCGAGAGAGATGGCATAACCATTTGCGTCCCAATATTAAGGTTTTTTCAACTTACATATTTTATACCTTTTTATCATTTTTTAGAGCCATCTTTTGTCACTTGATAGCTAAAACTTGATTTTCCATGATGTTTGATATTATCTTGGTCCCTTAGTCGTTCTTTCACATGATTCGATTGTTTATTTTCCATCTTCTGCCTTTCCTTTGCCAAGTAAGGTTCATAATTTTAATAGAAAGCAGTAATGGATCTAAGAACTTGGATTCTCTGTAGATTTGGTGCTAAATATTTTCCAAGGTTTGTCTATGAGAACCCCCCCCCCCAAAAATTTTGATTATGTTATTTTTCTACTTTCTTTTTTCTTTTTTGGAAAAATAATATTCTCCCAATTTCCTTATAAGTAGATTTACAAATTAAAATTTTGATTAATGATGTTTCCAAAACAAACGTAATTATTTGTTCAATTTTTGGATATTGTTTACATCTTTATCATCTATCACTCACATTTAGTATGTACAATAATTCATCATCAATATTATAGTTTGGGGTTTTGCTTGAAATCAAGACTATAAACATACATATGGCCAGTTGTTGGTGTCCAAGATTTTTACTTTTTTTTCAATCTATAGGGATAGCATCATTTGTCTTTGAAATATGATTTTTTTATGTAAATAAATGTATATAGTTTTCTACCATTATTTTTCTTTTGGGATTTTCTTAATTTTTTAAATCAGCATTTTAACATGTTAACTTGCTAGGGAGGTATATTCTATTGCATTTTGTCATATTTGTCACCTTTCTCATATTGTTCGAGCCCATATTTCATGTGATAGGAGAAACTCTTTTTTTGACAAAGGAATCATGATTTGTTATGAAAGATTTTTGTCTATGACAAAGGAATCATGATTTTTTTAATGCAATATTGATTTTTTCTTATAATATTTCTACACTTGTACTAGTCTAATGTTCAACATTTGTTGTTTGTAAATATTTATCTCATTTTAGAAGGACACTTGGAGTCCGGAGGAAGAGAGACTGTTGGTGGAAACTCATATGCAGGTTGGAAATAGATGGGCAGAAATTGCCAAAAGAATTCCAGGAAGGGCCGTGAACTCCATAAAGAATCACTGGAATACCACAAAAAGGAGACAAAATTCAAGGGGAAAGGTCAAGAAACCGGAAAGGGTGCAGAACGAAAGAAATCAGTCAACTATTTTGCAAGAGTATATCAAAAGTACTTATCCCAATAATAATTCCTTAACCACCATTAGCGTAGACCTCAGCTCTACCATCGTGATACCAACCAATAGTGCAACCACTTGCCCAACTTTTCCCAATTCCATCATATCAGAGGACCCCTCATCAACTCATTTCAATCTGCTTTATCCAGAATTATCTCAATCCACCACTGATGATTCCCTTTTCTATCTCACTCAACACTCTTATGATGATGAGATAAACTTTATGCAAAACTTACTTGGAAACAATAATCTCAACGCCTTCTTAGTTGGTGAGAATGATAAAGGAAAGGCTCTTCTAGACATTGGGATCGATCCAAAAGGCAAGTGTTCTATTTCGTTTAACCCTTTTAGATATAGCAGCTCTAATGATAATAATCAGAATTTTGATAAAAATTGGAATTATGGGCTTTATTCATCTTATATTGAATAAAACTTGTTGACCAAATCCTTTTTAGGTGATCAAGAGAATAATCAATCTGCACATATAATGGATGAAGGTAATGCCTTAACTGCTCCTCCTGAGATCTACCCCAGCAACATGAACATGAAGACAATAACAATGGATCAAACCAGTCCTTCATCAAGAAAGGAGGTTGACTTGTAGAGATGGTCTCAAATTCACAATTTTCTCGCAAGAATGTTGCTAATAGCTTTGTGTTCTAATATTGATTTAGTGAAGTGATACTCAGTTTTTAGTTTCCTAAAGAACTTTTGGAGTTTTACAAGCTTTTAACTAATAATTAGAACCAAAATTTGAGCACCTCTAGTTTAGTTCTAATTTCGGTTAGAATTGGCATATTCTGGGTAATTTGCTCAAGAGTTGTCAAAAAAATTGTGACTAGTGGCAATTATGTTTTATTATATGAATGATTTTCTTGTTTTTATTCTTGAATCTTGTAATATTTTGCTCTCTAGGTGTTAGTTTTGTGGTTTCAGTTACATGCATGGGCATTATCTTTTTTTTCTTGAATCAGTGTATCCTTCTTTTATATTTTTCAATTTTCTATTGTTTCTGCCATCCTACTTTCTCAAATGGCTAGTGTCCTTCTCTGGGTTCTAGTTGATAAAAGTTTTGTTTCCCTATAAAATAGAAAAGTACAATACTAAAGAATGTTCCGCAATCATCCATTAATCCTTGCATTCTGCAAAGTATTGTTTGTATGGTGATGAAAGCATCAGTAAAGTCAAAGACAAAAAATACTTACTATTTTTTTTGTGTCTCAACATAGTTCCATCATGTTGTGATACTAGAATGGACTACAAAAAAGGACACTTCTAATAATGGTAGATTAGTACTACAAGTGTTATTAGATACTTTGTGATGGTTTGCTACAAAAACCAATGTCTATTCTTAGGATTATTAAAATTTTGAATCTTTTTTAAAATTAATATAAACAGTCTTAAATGGTTAATTTTAACTATATATTATCATCATTACTATAATGATAGTTAATGATTTCTCAATAATTTGGACGATGGCAGTTTGAATATCAAACCTTTGTCGACGTAAAAAAATTGATAGGCTAACAAATGTGTTAATTAGCTCCCATCTCAAAATACTAATCAATTCGTTCCACGAATAATGGTGAAACTCAAAAAGCTTTTTTCAACCTATTTTGATAGCAATGGGAGAAAATACATTTGTGTCAACTTGTTTTAGGATAAATAAAATTCTAAAACTTTTGAAAATTAATACTAATAGTAGTAAATGGTTAATTTTAGCAGTATATTATTACCATTACTTTAACAATAATTAACAATTTCTCAATAATTAAAATGATGTTATATTGAATGCCAAAGCTTCATAGACATAAAAAAATTTTGGTAGCATAATAAATTAATCAACACTATCTCTTAAAAAAAATAATTTTGGTCCACCAACAATATTGAAATTCAAAAAACTTTAGTCACTTATTTTCATTACAAAGAGTGATAACGCATTTTTATTTACCAATTTGCAAAAACTCATGGTCACTTTTTAGGATTTGAAACTTTTGAAAATTAATATTAATGGTCTTAGATGGTTAAATTTAATGATGTATTATCTTTATACTTTAAAGATAATCAATGAATTCTCAAAATTTAGAATAGTGTCATCTTGTATGTCAAAGATTCCTTGAGATGAAAAAATTTAAAAGTATAATAAATGCGTTAATCAGCACCATCTCAGAAAATTAATTGGCAGGACCCATTAATGATGTTCAAATTCAAAACATTTTGGTGCACTTATTTTCATATGCAAGGAGGGAAAATACATTTCTATCAACCATTTATAACAAAAATAAATTTTTTATTTCAAATAAATAAAATTATGTGGTGATTACTTTCATGATAATTAATGACTTCTCGACAATTAGAATGATGTCATTTCAAACTTAAAAATTCATAGACATGAAAAAAATTAGTAGCATAGCATAATAAATGTGTTAACTAATGTCATTTCAAAGAATTAATCGACTAACTCCATGAATGATATTGAAATTTAAAAAGTTTTGGCACAATTTATTTTCATAGCAATAAGGAAAAAGTACAATTCTATCAACTATTCTGCAACAAAAATAAGAAATTTTATTCAGAATATATAAATTTAAGAAATTTTTTAATATTAATATTAAAGGTTTTAAACAATTAAGTTTAACGGTTCATTATCATGATCACGTCAATGATGACTAATAACTTCTCACCAATTAGGACAATATCATTTCGAATGCCAAAAAATCATTGACATAGAAAAGTGATAGCATAATAAATGTGTTATTCAATGCCATCTTCAAAAATTTATCGACATGGTCCACCAGTGATGTTTAAATTCAAAATGTTTGGCACAGTTATTTTCATAGTGAGGAGGGAAAGTACATTCTATTAACCATTTTCAACAAAAATGAGGATTCTTTATTAAGATAAATAAAATTTTAAAATTTTTTAAAGTTAATATTAATGGCTTTGATGGTTAAATTTTATGGTATAGTGTCATCATTACTTTAACTATAATTAATGACATCTTGACAAGTAGGGTTATGTCACGTCGAAGATTGACATGATAAAAATTAATAGTATATAAATGTGTTAATTAATAACATCTAAAAAATTAATTGACTAAATCCTCTAATAATATTTAAGTTGAAAAACTTTTGGTGAACTTATTTTCATAGCAAGAAGATAATACATTTCTTACAAGAATCATTAAAGTTATTTATTCAATCATTTTGCAACAAAAACAAGATCTGTTTTTAGGATAATAAAATTTTGAAACTCTATAAAATTATTGTTAATAGTTATAAAGAATTAGGTTTAACACCACGTTATTGTAACTATTTCATGATAATTTTTTGATTTCTCGATATCTAGAATGATGTTATCTCGATTGTCAAAGTTTTGTTTACTTGAAAAAGATTTGATAATATAATAAACGTGTTAATCATTCACATATCAAAAAATTAATTGATTGGCTCCCTAAAAATATCAATATTCAGAAAGTTTAATTTGCACTTATTTCAAGATAAGAAAATATAATAAGTTTTTTATGAAAAATTTGAGATTAATTTTTCAATCATTACCTTTTGAACTAGTTATTTAATTAAGAAAATTAAACTTAGTACATGACCAAGAATTTTAGTACTAGTGTTGATCTGTGCCCTCTTTTGCTTCTCAACAATCTTGTTTGGATTCAAAAAAGTAAATGAGATAGTCAAAGATAGGTTATTTTGCCCAAGGATACAAACCTTTTCTAGCGTGAATGTTTTGAGTTAGTTCTCAGATAAAGTTAAATGGCAGTTGGACAAAAACTTCCCAAATTTCCATAAGAAAAATAGCAAGAAAGGATAAGGGTGCCAAATTTCCTATGGTTTCTTTAGCTCCTATTTGGTTTTCCTTTTAATAAGGTTTTTTGAGTGTATTTTTGCAATTTTTTATAGTTTAAATTGTCACATGCCATTCTTTTCTTGGAAGAAAGACAATTCATTATCGCTTTTTTCTCCTCCCCATGCCAAGCATCATGCAACCTTGTCTTTTTCGGTGCACACAAATAATGAGTTGTATATATAAATGTAACGGTTTCTTTTCACTTTTCTTGATAATAAGCAGCTTTTCATTTTATGTTCTTGCATTTGACTTGCTCATTATGGGTAAAAGTTGGCTAACGCTTGAGGAAAATTTAAGGCAATGAGAAAATAGTTTTCACGTAAGATGCAGTGCTGATATATAATAGGATATTGGGATTTATATTCATATTAGTCTTAAAAAATTTATTAGATGCATAATTACACAATTTTTTTAACTCTAAAAGATGCATAATTACGCAATTAAGATGCCACAGTTTATTGTTTCCTTAGTATTTACCTTGCCTTGCATTTTTCATGTTATTATGATATATTTTTGGAGAATGTTAACTTACCATTTGGCTTCAAAGATTTAAGTAAGTCAATTGTCAATATGGTTTAACTATTAAGGCAAGTATCAGGTTGAACAATGACTGTATTTAGACATCATTAAGAGAACAAGAAACATGAAAACCTAAAAGGGATATTTGATTTTTAAAGCACAAATAAAATTTTTTGGCAATTGGGAAATATAAATGTAGTTTTTCTCTCATATTAATTAAATAAATTACCCTTGATAATTGGTGATTGAAAAGAAAAATGAAATTGCATTCATTTCTCTTTTCTGCTATTACCTAATTCAATAGAAAATGGATTTATTATCTATATTGGTCATCATTTGATAAGGTATTTTAGTAAAAATAAAGTGGTAGCTATGTAAAAAGAAATGTCTTATTATGGATATACATTTAAAAAAACGAACAAAATGTAATTCTCGTTCTTCTTTTTCTTTTCCTTTTTTCTTGTTTGAAAGTAATCTTTGCCTTTCCTATATCAAACTTTAATTTGGCTAAATTACTTCTTTCCTAATCACAAATTTTAAAGGAGTATAATTATCATCGTATGGAGTCTGCAAATTCCATTACATTTCGAGTACTAACTTCTAGCAAGGTAAAATGATTGAAAACATTTTTACCAGTGTTCAAGGACAAATATCCATAAAACAAAAAGGATGAATATCCATACCTTAGATAAAGAGAACCTTTACCTATATACTTCAAAAATTGTACTCATATTCATTTATTCTTTTTTAGTTCCACAATTCTTATAATTCTAGGAGATGAAAAATTAAGACTAGAATACTGAAAATTCAAAAGGATAAAAGGAGTAAAATTTTTTTAGTAATATGTTGTGCTTATTGACAAATAGCCTATAGTATTAAAGTTGTATTAATATTCTCTTGACAAATTGAATATAAAAAAGTGCTATTACACAATGTTTGCAACACTAAAATATGTGTGCATATAATATATTCTGACTCAATTAAAGCAAAAGGAAAAACCAATATACCTTGTATTTTAAAAAAATTCACTTTCCATAATTGAATCTATTTTAAGTGTCGAATTCGATATATGTTGAGCATATTTCTACTTTTATACATAATTGTTGAATTTTTTTTCTTATGATTACAATTGAAAGAATGAGTATTACCAGACATGTGCCCATTCAGCATTTAAACATTTCCTTCTAAATTATTTTTCATACTTGTGGATTCTTTTCTAATTTTATCTTTTTGAAACCAAAAAAATTTTAAAAAATACTTGCTATAATTTACACATTAATTGAAGTTATTGTCAACATTAAACATTTCAAATTTTAGTCGTTTTTTGCTATATGAAACAATATTCTTCCACTTACTGGATAAGTATTCATGTAATGTATAGATAAGTAATTTGACATAATATTGTGTTAAATAAAGTTTCTGATTTCAGGTTGCAAACATAAAAAAGTTAATTTGAGCATTAGACACAAGCAAATTGGTCAAAGAATGATGCGAAGTATATATAAGAACGTGATCCAAAAAATTTCTTAATAATTGGCTATTAGGCCTCCAAGTGATAG